GGGCTCCGTTTGAGGCATAATATCCTGGCTGTTATTGATAGTGTTTGTTTGTTTGTTTGTTTATTGTGTTGATGACTAGGCATCTGGGATTGGAATGATTATAGGTCTCTGTAATGATATCTGGTATTGTCTCTGTTGGGTAAGTGTTTTGTTCCTTCATTTCTGCTTCTTCCTAGGACTTTAGGAGTGACTGGTGGATGTGGTACCTGGTAGCTGTTTTATGTGGACCTGCTTCCCTGGCCTGCTCAGCTGATGTGTTCTCCAGCGAATGCCTGCTGGTGCTGGAGACTGGGATAATGGGATGAGTTAGAGGGAGGTAGAAAGGGATCTTTGCGATCCATTGGGGGTAGGTTCAGAGACTTTAAAAAAAAAAGACCACAGCAGGGTTCTGAGGTAGAGTTGGGAATGAGACAGGAGTTGGATCTGGAGGAGCAGATAAAGTGAATCTGACTGCTGCCAGTCTACTTGTTGTCCTGGAAGAAGGCCTTGGGTTAGTATGGAGTACCTGCTGGGCTTGGGGGCTGGACAAAGTAATGTGTGGGTAGTGAGGTTAGAAGGGGAAAATCTGTGGGATCCACTGGAGGTTTGAAGGGGAGGGCAGGGAGGGGGCAAGGAAGGCTGACTAGTGTTCTGCTGCAGAGCTAGGGATGAGAGTGAGTGACTGGATTTGGGGGACAGATGAAGAAGGGTAAATATCTTAATTTTTTAGTTGAAAAAAGAAATTTAAAACTACCTGTAGGGATGCATTATAAAAGCTGAAAAATAATTACGTATTTGAAATTAAAAGGATAAAGAGAATTCCAAGAAACAGATCTGTCCACACTACATTTAAATATGAAGAAATAACTATGGTTGTAAGGTATATGTGTATACACACCTACACTCATACCTAGTCACCCTCATGCTCTCACGAACACACATATCGGGCACAGCACACCGGAGAAACCAGAGTTGTTAAGCATGCAGGTTTTGTTCTTCAAGGGAAGGAAAATACTGACCCTTGTTAATCAAGAAGGCTGGAGTAGGTGTCTTCTCACAACCGGGTGATGTTCTGCTGTTGTATGGAGCCAGCCCTCACCTGAATTCCCCCAGATCCTGAGCATTGCTTAGGCCATTTCGGTTCAGTGAATAGAACCCATCCTTATGAAAGAGGTCCTAAGTACTTTGCATTTTGTTTGTGTTTTGAGACAGGGTTTCTCTGTGTAGCTCTGGTTGTACTGGAACTCAGTCTATAGATGGGACTGAACTCAGACTCAGAGATCTTCCACCTCTGCCTCCAGAGTACTGGTATTAAAGAAGTGAGTTGCCACTGCCTGGCATACTTTGTATTCTTAATCAACAGAACCCTTTATTCTTATTATAAATCCCCTCTCTTTAGGCCCTCATCTGAACACTGTTTCTCTGTCAACAATAGCCTACTCTTATGGTAAAGGTTACAGGTCCTTTAGTGAAGAGAAGTACTTTGCATGGAGCCATGTCTAATGCTTTGTGGTAATAATTGTCATGTGAAATGTGTTTGCTGAAGTTTTTCTGTGTTTAAACGTGTAAAGAAAGCAAATTTGCTTGGTCAGACTACAGAAGTTTTGATTTCGCACCAGCTAAAGTTATGCTGACCTCAAGTGTCAGTCTTAATTTCTAGGAGTGTGTCCTCTCTTTGCAAGTAGTGACACTTGCAGCTGTTATGGTGTTGAAAACCATGAGCTAAACACTACGATATTGCAGAGCAAAATTTATCCATAGCCAGGCCTAACTTACTGTCCCCTCCTCAGGAAGAGGCCCTCAGCAGCAGTAGAGAGATTTGTATATAGGTCTTTTACGACCTTTGTAAGCAAGCAAAGCTTAAACAAATCAGAATTTGATGCTCTTAGCATGAATACACTGTCAAAGGTTTTGACATCATTGTAATGGGGCAGGTTTGGAAAGCCTCATCAAGTCGACCTACTTTTTCAGAAGGTCATTGTGTTCTGTGGGCTTGAAAGTAGGTAATACACAATAGGAACACACATCTTCTTTCACCTAAGACAAAGAAGGAACACAAATATCAAGATTCCAGAAATATATCTGGGAGTTGGATAGTAAAAGGAGAGCAGGTTTTGTTTCATTTACAGATGAAGTAAATTATTTAACCCATAGTGAAATCGGTACTGAAAGCAGAAATGGTGAGTCTGCCCTACACACATACACACACACACAGACACACACACATATGAAATGCACATGCATTGGGGGATGTAGATCTCCTTTATAGGGTTTACTAGTGCTGTGATGAAATACCGTGTGCTAAGCAACTTGGGGTGGGAAGGGTTTGTTAGGCTTCTACTTTCCTATCACTATTTATCATGGAAAGACATCAGGACAGGCACTAAAATGCACAGGAACCCTAAGGCATGAGCTGATTCAGAACGGAGCGGCACTGCTTACTGGCTTGATCCTCTAACTTGCTTAACCAGCATTCTTGTAGAACCCAAGACCTTCAGCCCAGGGTTGGCTCCACCCGCCAATCACCAAATTAAGGAAATGGCCTTGCAGACCTGCTAGGCCCTGCAGAACTACCTACAGCCTGATCTTATGGTTTAGGTTCCCTCCTCTCAGATGACTTTTGCTTCTGTCAAGTTTATACAAAACTATGCAGCACAGTATGTTAAGAGAGAATTAAGAAAATTATACAAGAATATATACTCAAAAACTACAAATTACATTAAAATGGAATCCTTTAAAATATTTTAAATCGCTTGGAGAAAGTCAAAGAATGAAAATGAGGAAGGAAACGCAGGGTCTCTCTCTCTCTCACACACACACACACACATGCCACACATATACACACGCACCACAGAAATATAATAACAGACTTAAACACCAATAATGTTCTGAGGTGAAAGGGGACAGCAAGTCTCTGGGAAACAGTGAGCTAGTTCAGTCAAGGACAGCATTTGAAACTCCGCTACAGTGAGAGCTCTGCTAAGACAACAGCCAATACATAGCATTTAAACATGTGCCAGAGAAGTCTCAGAGGAAAGTTTCTGACCATGGGACTTGGCATGCTAGCAAGAGACTTGGCTGACACGTTGTGACTCTGAAAGAAAAGATTCAAGTATGCACAGGCAAAGGTTTCAGCTACTCTTTCAAAGTCACAGGCAGTGAGTTAGTAGCTCAATGTGTTTCTCGGATGGGAGTAAGTCCGTAATAGTTCTGTCTGTAAAGGGTTAAGAAGAAATGAAAACGAAAATACTACCGGGAACAAAAGTTTAGGCTCCTGCTTTGTTAGCTTTGTTAAAAGAAACGCGACAGAGCCCTCTCCTGGTGGAGTATGTCAATGCATCTAAATTTCCGAAGTCGACGATCTTGGTTTAAATCAATGGTTTATTCTGATGTTGCCTCCGGGAAGCTGTTTAAAATCCAGGCGTCGCTGTCTCTATAGTAACATGGAGATAAACCTCATCTCCAGTCTTTTGTATGCTAGAAATATTACGTTGCTTGAAATACGCCAACCATGTAAGAAATCAAATGCTACCATGGAAGAGTGACTCTCAGATGCCAAGCTTGGAATGTAAATGCAATTTGCTTTTGAATCAAAATAAATTCCACGCCCATTTTACACATTGCTCGGCTATATTTATTTGTATACAAACTGCTTTGAAATATTTTGTACTAAATATTTTAAGTGTTTTTTATAACAAAGTCATTTTATCTGTTTGAAGAAATCCTGACATTTGCAAAACCTTATAAAAATAGACTATTTTCATACCTCAGAGGCCTTTAGACAAATGAAGACCAAAAAAACGTAATCAGAACACAAAATTAAAGTGTAATAATAGTCTAGACGGATGGAGCCCTTTGGAAGGATTCCTAACTGCAGCGTATGTAGTCTGCCATCTAGTGGTCGCGAGCATGAACTTGCCTGGAAGATTGTTGTGCCTTTAGTGGTCGGGAAATCTGAATTTCTGTCGAAGAAAACCTGAAAAACCGTTCCCTCTTTGAGGTTACTGCTGTTTTCTCCTCCTCTCTCCAATAAAAATACGCAAACACTAAAGGCCCACTTAAGAACTGGAGTTGTGCTACATCCCCCATTATAATGGTTCTCAATGAAAGATCTCAGAGATATATCAGACTATAGAAATGGTCTCTTGGCAGTGATGTAGTAGTGTCCCATGTTGGACAAAAGCAGTGAAATTGATAATTAATTAACGCCACGGCGAATCAGTGTTCAGCCCAGACAGTTTTTGCGCCCACATAAAATGTGAGGTCAGTGTGTTACTGAACCACAGTAAATCAAGGATGTGACATGGGACGTATTTTGGAATTTTTCTGATAATTTCTGTCTTCTACACAACCCCAGCCTCTCTCTTCTTTACTGAGACCAAAACAAACCTCCTACTTAGGTATTTATCTTGAATGCCATTCTTTTCCAAATTGCTTTATATTTCTCCTGGGTTTCATTATTGTGCCTTCACTTAGTCATGCACACACATAGGCGTTGGATGTTGGAGACACAGCATGGCTGCCTTCTCCTGAAACACACTGCCGCACGGTGTGAATTCCACAGGGCACTGCAGAGTACAAAAAACCAGGCAGGTTCTGTGATCTTAGACTTAGAGTGTAAGAAAGCACCCGAATTTCGTGTCAATATTTGGCCAATGAAGCATATTTGAGATTGCATAAAAGTTCCATCTTTGAAACTAACCATGGCTTCTGTTCATTTCCACTTAACAAAATGTGTGGAAGATGACAAGAACTTGAGGGACTTTGCTTTAGAAACATGTTCGGAAGGAAAAAAAAACAATGAATGTTCAATAGAAAATAAAATATCTCCACAAAACTACAAATACCAAATGTCAAAGTGTGTACGTAGCTATGCTACTTGCCATGTTTCTTTGACATTCAGACTCACAAATTTTTACAACCCATTTGAACCTGGCAAAGATTACGGCTTACAAATAAGTAAATATATGAAGAACATACCACAGCATCATCGTTTATTGTCTTCCGCTTTCAGTCTTCCTTGTTTAAAACTGCTTATTCACAGAACAGTTTTATAGGACACAATTTTTTTCTACTAAAGTAATAAGATAAGGTCAAATAAAAGGGCTAGGTATTTCAGACAAGGTTTTGTATCCATTCAGTTATGGAGTAAGAAACACAGAAATCTGGGAGCAGGATGTTCAGCGTGAGGGGAGGACATGGGGAAACCCTGGAGAAGTAGAAGTGGGGGGAAAGGTACCCGAAGAGAGGCTGGCTTTTATTTTCCCCACTTCACAAACACGCACGCGGAGACAGGATTGAGTCAGCGAGGCACTTAAACCATTCTTAGCTGAGTAATACCCACACTTCGAGTTGAGGCCTGACTCTTGCTTAGTTCACGAACATTTTTAATGCTTGACTTAGGACAAAAATTGGAAAGCAAGCCAGGAAAATTATCAAGGTGGAGGGGGAAATGGTACAGTTAGAAAAAGGGGTCGACTGAAAAAGATGCCACTTTAAAAGTTACAGATGAAGAACTCAGTTATGTTATTGGTCAGATTATGACAACCTACACACCAAAAATCACATGTATTAAATTTGAGGCAACTATTTCCCTTGGCCTTTCATTGAAACAACAAGAAATTCTAAAACCGTGTTTCTACAGGATGAATCGTGAAAAAGGGGGAGCATGGTCTTGATGAATATACATTCATGCCAATAAATGATGATTAAAACTTAGGCTATTGAGTATAATAAACAAGTGGGATTCAGGGAAAATATTGCAGTACATCAATGTGAACTAAATGACCCTGAAAGCAGGCTTCGCATTCACGGCACACTAGTTAATAGGAGAAGATTATTTTATTTCAGTCCTACACAGACAAGAAGCCTTGCAGAACAGCAGAACTGATTGATGCAAGCATCCTCTAAGTCTCAGTTGCTTATCACAGTTGTTGTATTCATCATAGTAAGGGCAGGGGTTAGCTGAAAAAAAAAAAACAGAATAGCACACAACATTATGCTTAAAATAATTGCAACCATTGAGGAAAGACATTATCTTCTATATTATAGAGGATTAATTTGGTTCAGGAAAGCTGATTAGGTATGAATGCAAAACAACTGATGAGTTGAATCAGATCCTTTTGAAATAATGGGAAAAAATTCTTGTCATGATATAAAGCACTTTCATTCAATCTCAATTTTTTTTAGTTGGTGACACCGCCCCTCAACAGACTGGAGATGAATAATCTTTTCAATTTCTTTGACATTTTGAGAACAGTAATATCATTATATTAACAATAAATAAAGTTTCCATCATTGAAAAAATTGTTTCCTGTGTATCCTTGAAGGATATATGTAGTCTTAAGAGGAAGCAGAAAAGGGCTTCCAGCCAAGTCCCTCCAAAGACACATCAGTTCTTTTGACTAATCAGGCATTAAACTGTCCTTACAGGAAATTCATCAGCCAAGAGATCTCAGTACCTGGTTTATTATATAATAGGAAAATTAATTAAAGAATTGCCATCCCAACTCCTTCCTGAACATAAAGAAATGCAGCATAAAGAAAGATCCTCTCTACATCTGTTAGGATTTGGGCATGATGCTGGCCTGCCTGCTGTCACCTGGTAGAATGCACTCAGGTAGTACCCTCGTCAATTCACCGTCCTGTGGTTTCTACATAACTGTGTAGTCTGCACACAAGTGCAAACTCCATCCATCTCCTCTCTCTCTCTCTTTCTGCCATCTCCTAGAGGAGACAGACAGACCGATCCCCTGTCTATTCTTTCTCTCCCCCTCTCTATTCTCTCTCTCTATTCTCTCCCTCTCTCTCTCTCTCTCTCTCTCTCTCTCTCTCTCTCTCTCTCTCTCTCTCTCTCTCTCTCTCTCCCTCCCCCTCCCTCTCCCTCTCCCTCTCCTTCTCTTCTCTCTCCCTCCCTCTCCCCCTCCCTCTCTTCTCTCTCCCCCACTTTCCCTTCCTCCACTCCCTTCCCAATAAATCTTGCTTTCCTTGAAAGTTCTGCCTGATGGAGTGTTTCCCCTCTGCCATGGGATCCACCAAGATCCCACCTTTGTGACGTATTCCTGACAATGTTCAGGTCACACACTTAGAACTATGTGAGACTAAACACAGAGAAATTAAACATCAGGAGTCCAGCCCCTTCTGCTATATCATGAATTACCTCTATGCTCATGAACTAGTTCTGTGTTAGCCTCGACATTGTGACCTTCCTCCACCAGCCCTCTGATGGGGGAACTATACAAGGATGCTCACTGCAATGACTTTTATTGAACACCGTGGCAGAAATCCTGGCTGAAGCAGTGAGGCAAGATGGTGACAGGAATGGCTTTTCTAAATTGGAAAAATGGAAAACTGAGCAGTCAAATTGTCATGGTCAGAAGATGACATGATCTCATACATAGAAAATGACAGCTGCCAAAATTAAGAAAAACAAATTAGTGTGTTACATAAATATAACCAGTATGCAATATAAAAATAAATGTGGACTGTAATAAATTACATCATAGCAGCGTTTAAAACATGTAGCACTGGTGTATGCGATAGCAATGTGTGAAATGGAATTTAAGAAAAAAATTTCACTAATAAAACACATAAAACTACATAGCAATTAAGACTTTCAAAGTGACGTTTCTATTGTGAAAATTATAAACCACTCTAGATGGCACACAAATACAGGAAAACCATCTGTGCCATTGTACTGAGAATCAATATTTATAAAATGTCACTCTTAGGGTTGCATCACTAGACAAAGAACTACAGATAGGTAATGACTACCCAGAGAGGGAGAATTAGCCTCTCCCATGGATGAGATGCCATACTGAATATTCAATGCTGAATGGTCAGTCCTGAAAACACACAAACAATAATAATGGACTAGGGTTGTATTTATGTATTTGTATACATATTTACAATAATAGCAAGAGAAAAGGGGTTATCAACTTGAAAGTGGAGAGATAAGCTGATCATTGGGTGCTAAGGAACAATTAGACAGAATTGAGAGGGGCAAGTTTGTTACTGGTGTTTACACATAACAATAACCTACTACATACTTTTTGAAAAGTAGAATTTTGAACAGTGCTCCAAAATGACAAATGTTTGAATAAAAAAGATATGGTTACCCTCATCTCAAAAACCCACAATATATACCTGTCAGCATATGACCTTAATTTACACATATGCAGCTTTCATGTGTTAATAAGAAAAATAAATCAGAATTTACGTAAGCATTGAAGGGCAAATTTTTATAGAACCCCGTATCAGATAGTTCCTGAGCTAATGAAAAAGAATAAGGATCAGCCTACAAAAAATCCACACTGATATGTGGTCAGCCAAGTTGTGGGCAGCAAGCATTTCAGAGAGACTGATATAATGAAAGTAACATGCATAATTTATGGTCTACAGTACAGTATCCCAGGAGTTGTGTAGGGACAGCGGTCACACTTACATTAATATTTTACCTAGGCTGACTCTAATTCATAATTTTAACTTTTATGTGGGAACTGGAACTTTCATACATAGGTATCCTAATTTCCCATTCATTTCAATAGTGAAGTCAAAGAGTTTTGCTTACCCTGAGTACAGAGGGAAGGGAAACAGAAATAAGATAGATATATCTTGTCGTAATATTGAGTGGAAAATTAAGAAACATAGAATATGGATTAATGCTTAACCTAAAGGATAATATGTGGTCTCCATGTCAATATGATCAGTATGCCAACTTTAAGCAACCCAAGTTAAACAACAAAAACAACTCACTGCATAGTCCATCTTCACAATGATTTGGACAGTCTCCACATGGGAAGCCCTCCTTATAAGGCAGATTTAGTGTGTACGGATTATTTCCCCTTTAAAAAATGAAAAAGTAGAAGCACAGTGAAAATTATCACTGGAAAATATTTAGAAACTTATGTTCACTGTTAACAACTAATGCACAAGATAAATCGTTTAAGCCAATTTGTAAATGAACAGGGTTAATAGCTACAATAGATATGTGACCTAAATTTATGGGTCAGTATTGTATTTGCACTCAACCACCAGCAATTCTGTTTAAGTATAATTGTAGTCATTTCCCCCATATCTTTGAACAGTCAAGTGCTAACAGAACAGTCATGTCCCAAAAGTGAGGCTTTAGGATGCCAGTTTTGTGTGTGTGTGTGTGTGTGTGTGTGTGTGTGTGTGTGTTTTCAATCTTCTCAAGAACTTTGGAAAGTGCTATGGGAAAAAAGCACAATTCATTTGCTTTGGATCGTTTTTTTTTTTTTTATCTCATTTTACACCAGTGATGAAAAGCACTTTTTATTGTGTCTTATAGATACATTATCTACATAAATCACAAAGCACTAAGCATAGATGAAACTAAAGAAAGTACAGGGCAGTCTGAGAAGCAGTGGATTCTGAGGACGGGATCACCCTCCTCAGAGGCAAAAGGGGCACTTCTCTTTCAACTGCATTTAGCATTAACAGAACAGTAACTTGGCTTACGACAAACACTTTGTCGACCTATCTGCCACAACCTCAGCGGCTCCCTGAGACACGTAAGCAACTGCACACAGCAGACCAAGAGGTGAGTGACCAACCTCCAGCTGGACATCCCAGTCTCTAGACCAAGGAGCAAAGCCCCAGGCCTCTCCCCCATCTGCCTCAGCCAAACTAGCTGGCTTGCAATGTTGCTGCACTGCTGGTGAACAGAAAACAGAGCACAGGGGTCTGAATGTCTCTGAATAGCCTTTCTTTGCCTAAGACAGTTTAAATTCACTCCCCTATGTGATGACTCTCCAGTGAACACTGATAAATTTTCTGAAAGTTTACTTATGTCTCTCAATAAACTAAGTGGAAACATGATGAAAATGTGGTATATTTGTGACGTTTTTGCCAGCAACCAAACAGAAAAAAAGAATCCTAGAACATTCATTTATAATATTTGAAACATTAGGCAAGATTTTAGGAGGTTAGTATATTTAGAAAGAATAATAAACTGAAATTACATACTCGTGACAATAGTGGCACACATAGAGAAATGTAGCGGCTTTTTGTCTGCGACACCAAGCAACATCACAGCCAATAAGATAGGAAGTGGCCCAGATCATCTGTAATGATAAGAGATGACTTCATTCTGGATTTGCATGCTCATAAAATGGCTACAATATCAGCACTGCTAGCTATTGTGATTAAATGTAAACACACAGGAGTGGAGAGATGGCTCAGTGTTTACAAGAACTTGCTACTCTGCTATAGGACTTGGTTTCGATTCCTGCATCCACTTGGATTGCCCACGACCATTTCTAAAATCAGATCCAGGGTATCCAAAGCACCCTCCCTAACTCTTTGGGCACGGACACTTGACAACATCATATGTGTATGAAGATAGGCATTCACACACACACACACACACACACACACACACACACACGAATAAAAATAAATCTTAAAGAAGTAATCAAGTCCTCAGTGTGCATGGCCTACTCAGAAGGCACACAGAAAAACTGAAATGTTTAGGTCATTTTACTGGAATGAGAATCCTGTTATGTAAATCCCACCAAAAAACAAAGAGCAACACCATCCATTCTGCTTCTTCTCTCCATGTCAAACCTTTGTGGTGAGTAAGCTAACGTGATAAAGACTGTTTGTATAAGACTCAAACCAAGGAAGGATGCTTTCTCCCTGGTCAAGAATAGGGTAATATTCAAATAACTTTCAGTGCAAGTGAGCCAAATTTAAATTTCCTCTCCATACTTCTAAACTGGGTGGGGGGTTTTGTTGTTCCATTTGTTTCGAAGTTTCTTGGTTAGAGCTTCATTTTCTCCTCTGTAAGGTGGGTATAATAATGCTACCCACTCCATGAATGTGTATAGTGAGGGTGAAATAATAAAACAAATAAGAAGTTAGAGGAGGAATCGAGGGTGAGTGCAATGGAGTCCATTATTTTTTGAGAGCTCTTTAGGAGGCTGGCTAGAAGTTACCTTAGCCTGCACTGGACTCTTTACTCATTTATTTTTTTTTTTAATCATAGTAGCTTGCTCTGACTGATTTTGTAAAGTCACTTTCTTTTCACAGAGGGAAGCTCCCTCCACGCCATGCAGCATTTAATTGTCTTTGATGAAGAAAGGTATGCTTTCACCAAATCTGGGGCTCCACCCACTATGCAAACATTGGATGATGCACCACAAGGTTTGCGAGATTCTCTTCTTACTCCTTTTTACATACGCGTGTTTGCCTAGTGTAATTTTGTTGAACTCGGAGTGTTATAGACCATGTACTTAGAAAAACTGCAATGAAAATACATTAGAACGTCTACTGTGCCATTTTCACATTATATATTGACTACTAGTAAAGTAGTGGGTATAGGTCATTTTCCTTAGCCTGAGAGGAGAACCAGTACTTATCTAAGAACCACACATGTGTCCAGTCGTGGGTGTATCTGGAAGGATATTAGATTACCTGAGTGTAATGCTCTGTCTCGAATTCATCATCTGAGGATGGCCATTCTCCATATATGAAATGTTTAGACTCATTGTGCCACATTTCAATTATGTTTGACCAGGAGTAGGGGTAACGGTCCAAATGCCTATTTTCTCCACAAAATGTATCTGAAAAATGAAGGAACATGACTACAAAATATTCTTTATTTTCATTTCTTTCTCTATTTTTGAAAAATTTTTTTGGAGACAGGGTTTTTCTGTGTAGCTCTGGCTGTTCTGGAACTCACTCTGTAGACCAGGCTGGACTTGAATTCATAGAGATCCTTTTGCCTCTTTCTCCTAAGTGCTGAGATTAAAGGCATGTGTTGCCACACCCAGGTTTAATATTATTTAAAACTACAAAATACAGAAAATTTCCTCATTTTCGTTCACAAATGTTTTAATGATCATCTAGACATCATTTATAATTGAAATTATAGTTGTTTCTCTTCTGAATAAATCTTCCTTCTTGTTGAGTGATCACATGGTGCTCAAGAGAATCTGGCATGGACACATGACGAGAAAGCTTTGAAATAACCTCTCTCTCTGTGTGTGTCTCTGTTTCTGTCTCTGTCTCTCTCTGTCTCTTTCTCTCTCTGTCTCTGTCTCTGTCTCTCTCTCTATTTCTCTCTCTCGGTTTGTTTGAGATAGGGCTTCTCTTTTTACTGGATGTCATAGAAGTCCTATGTAGACCAGTCTGGCCTCGAACTCACTGAGATCTTCCTGCCTCTGCCTCCCAAGTGCTGGGATTAAAAGTAAAAGGCATGTACTACCACTACCTAGGGACTACGGATATCTCAGTCTGTCCCTTGTCAGGTAAATGAGGGTAGTGAAAGTTTGCATGACACCTTGGGAGCTGTAACTGAATTCTGGAATTGAAAGCATTTACAAAGAGGGGCCATGTTCTCAAAAGATGTTGGGTCCATTTGTCATGCATTCTCTAGTTAGGTTATGGTACTGAGGAATAATCTGCCTTTCTCTAGAATATAAAGTTCCCCCATTGCTAATGCACTGCTTAAACTCTTGACAAAGAGTCCCAATAATCTGTAGACATAAAGTTGTAATTTGTACTTTAAAAAATTAGTTTGGAAGAAAGCATCGCCTCCAGTGTTACCTAATTCTGTAGGATGCACTAAAAATTGTATAGTATTTAATGTATTTGACAAAAGCAAGTACACCTTTGAGCACTGAAAAATTTTCATCTGAGTAGTTGTACAGTTGCTTAACACTCGGTTCTTAGCTGCGTTAGTGTCCCAAAGCCAAGGAAATCCCCATTCTGATGTTGTGGGCAACCAAGATACCTTTCAATTGAAACCTCATAATTATCAGGTTCACTTAATCCTGTAATAACACTGGCCATGATTCCTTCCTCCTGTTGGTTAGAGAATGAACTCCAAAGCCAAGAGTCCCCAAATTTTAAAATTAAAAACAATGATTCAGTATATCAGGCTACAATCTGCCTTCAAGGATAGGTGTCAGTGAAGACTGAGTCTGTTAACCTACTTTTGCCAAATTGCTTGCAACTATGTTTTTGACATAGTGTTTACTCATTTACATTTTTGCTTGTTTATTTAAGGGTAGTTTGCATCTAACATGTACCAAGAAGTCTCAGGTGTTAAAGACTTGTTCTGTGGATGCAGGTAGTTCTGGGAGGTTGGAGAACCTTTGTGAAATGGAGCCTGCTTGGCAAAGTTGGGTCTTCAAAGGCATTCATGTCAGGAGCACAGTTTCTAACTAAATGCTTTCTCTCTCCAGCCTGCCTTTTTTCTAGCAGAGGGGAGCAGCTTCCTCCACTATAAACTCTGTCATGCTATTTGACCTTAGTTCAGTCCCAAATCGCTGCAACTAAAAATGATAGGCTTGCCGGGCAGTGATGGCCCATGCCTTTAACCCCAGATCTCAGGAGGTAAAGCCAGGCAGATCTCTTGTGAGTTTGAGACCAGCCTGGTCTACAAGAGCTAGTTCCACAACAGCCTCCAAAGCCACAGAGAAACCCTGTCTCGAGAAACCAAAATAAATAAATAAATAAAAATAAATAAGTAAATAAGAAAATTAAAAAATGATGGGCTCAACCTTCCGGAGTAGTAAAATAAAAACAAACCTCCTCCTCACTTTAAAGTGTTTTCCTCCTACCAGTTCATAGAGTTGGAAATACAAGTCGTGGCATACAGACACATACTGTTAAGTCTCCTCTCAAGCGGGTCACTCTCTGACGTATCACAGTATCTCGCCAGGATTCTAGCATTTCCAGCAGCAACTGTACTCCAACTCTATGAGACAAGAAAGAAAAAAAAAAACAGAAACAAAATGAAACTAGCATTCACAAGCTAAGATTCTTGGTGTTTGTAAAAATACAGGATTTGACAGTTAAACACTGAGCGGAACTCAAGGAACCCAGAGAAAGAGAGGGAGGACTGATGAACATAGGGATCAAGACTGGCCTGGTTTAACCCACAGAGACAGCTGACCTGAACAAGGGGGAGCTCTTGTTTCTTGGGGAAACCGAACTTTTACATATTTCCAATTTCCTCAAACATTGTAGTAGGAACAAAAAGGAAATCAATGTGTAATTCCTTTTAGATTTCTGGGAAGTTACAAATTCAGAATTAGATAATCACTTTCAGACCATAGCTTATTTCTTAGAATGTGGTTGAATAATTTCAGGGAAGCAGACAGCCTTAGAAGGCTATCCCAATTAAGTTGTCAGCTGTTTTGTCATTGTCTGGTTGACGCTAACTAGAGTCACATTTAAAAAGGGAAAGTTGCCTGAGGAGTTGCCTCCACCATATTGGCCTGTGAGCATGTCATTGGGGGGCATTTCTTGGTTCATGATTGTTGACCCCTAATATGCGGTCCTGGGTGGTATAAGAAAGCAGGCTGGGTAACGCCATGAAGGCTAAGCTAGTAAGAGGCGTTCTTTCATGGCCTCTACTTCGGTCCTTGCCCCGACTTTCCTCAGTGATGAATTGTGATCCGGAGTTGTCGGCCAGATAAACCCTTTCGTGCACATGTTCCTTTTCGTCGGCGTTTTATCACAGCAACAGAGAAGCAAACAAGAACAACCCTAGGCACGGCATTCTAGTTTTTAAGAGTCTCCGTGGCTGTAAAGAGGAAGTCTACGACTCGCCAAATGCTTTATCCAACAGATTTAGTGTGATGGCCCTTACACCAAACTTGTGATGTCCTGGGTCTCCCAGTGCGTGCTCAGCAAACAAGTGATTTCTGTGAATGCAAGCCGAGCCGCAAATGTCTGCCTCAATGAGGACGAAAGTAAAGGAGCAACTGATGAACCCATTACTAACTGTATTCTTCCTTCTCGTCCTTAGAGCAACTACGAGGGGGCAGTGCTATCTTCTCTGTATGGGAGACAAGAGCAAGTGTGGCAGTTGGAAAGCTTTGAAGGTCACTCAAGTGAGAATTCGAATCGCTAATCTAGTGTGCTCTGAACTTCGTGTGGGTGGGATAAGGTTGATTTGTGCTGAGTTGAAGCGTTTTACAATATACAGCTCAGAAACAGCTGGATGAGAGTAGTTGCAACATGGCGAAAGCCTCCCAACCAGCGTCTCCACAGCCTGCTCACACCACGTGTGACACTGTCAGCCACAACGACAGAGTGGTTTTGCTTTAATCACAGTCTTTTGGGTAAATCTTCTAAGAATGTAGGGACAATTACAACTTTTTGCACTCAGTTTCCTCTGCTCCTGTGTTTTGGGTTGGTTGTGATGAGAAAGTATTTCAAATACACAAAGTTCACTGGACTGACTAGCAACTTTGGCATTATTGCCTTCATAGTGGAGGCCAATCTGTGGCAAGGTCTGGGAAAAGATAATCACTCTGTGTGTATACCGCCATCTAGTGGCTATTTATTAGAATTACTTTTCAGGTTAACTTCAAAACAGTTTCGGTTTTGCATATTTCAAAAAGATTACTATTTCATGTCTGTGTCTAACTGAGGAACTGGGCTGAGTCAGATTTGTGGCTGTATCATGTACTAAGCATGAGTCTGAGAAAGTCATTTACATCTGCTTAGACTCAGTTTCTTCCCCTGTTACATCGTAGATCTGTTGTAATGACCAAACATTTGCTACAGTCACAGCTCACAGGACTAAATAGCAACGTAGCGAGCCCCACCAGTATCCCTGACATCACTGATGATGACGTTCTTTGGACTTACCATCTTCAGCATGTTCCTGGCTGGCGGGAACACTTTTCTCCTTAAAGCATTGTGTGCTTTGACAATTTCTTCTTGTGGGCCGATTTGGAACTCTGTGACCAGTTTACTATAGAGGGCTCTCTGTAGTTTGAGATGCTATCAGAAAATTATTTATTAATATCACTCTTTAGAGTATAACTTGTCACATCAAGTATATTACATATAGATCTATAGGTAATGTGAAGATAGAGCTTATTTCCGATGAAAAAAATAATGTTCAGCATTTAGGAACTACTGATATGCAAGTTTTAAGTATTATGTGTTTGTGTGTGTGTGGGTGTGGGTGATCATGTATGCATATTCTAGTTCTACAACAAAACTATTGATTTCAACTCATGATACAATTAGATAACATAAATGAAGGTGGATGCCATGCTGTTTTTATTATGTTATTTTGATTGCTAAAGATTAATCATATATCTTTGACTGATCACAGACTGTTAGGATGCTCCACCTATTATACCACTGAGGATTTTGTTTCTGTTCTATGATTATTGAAGTAACTGGAAATCTCCACTGTGGTCTCGCTCTTCCCTTCAGAAAGCCCACCAAGAGTCGGATCCTTCCCTAGATCTGCTCAAGACCACACACCTACAGGGTATTTAAGACCTGGTCACCAAACTTGCCACTTGAACTCTCCCCTGCCTTCCCAAAAGTCAAGCCGGAGTTGCTTTTCTCTGCTTTTCTCTGTTTATTAAATCTGGATTTATTAATTCACCCTGATGTGATTTATTGCATCTGAGGAAGAACCCAGTAACTGGGGATCTGATACTTATGTATAATCATTGTTATTAATATTATCATCATTACCATCGCTGTCGTCCTTTTGTGGTTCTATGGATTGAACTCTGGACTTCACACATAGACAAATGCTCTATCACTGACCTAGCCCAAAGGTCTTATTTTAAAAGGAATCAGACCTAGGCATCATATTCCATTGCTGAGTCTCTCCCACTTCGTTGTAGCTGTACCTTTCAATTTCATATTTAAATTTGAGGTGTGGTGTTCACAAAATCACAAACAATATAGCTCAGTTGAAGACATGGTTATCTTGGAGGAAAAGTAATAAAAGCAGTGTTTCTTAGTTTATTTTCTTCTGCTTAGTCATTGAAATGTGGGTCAATTGTAAAGAAGTTCTTGTCTGTGCTTTTGTTATTTTCCTCCCCCATCCCTCCTTTTCTTTATCTCTTTCTTTGATGCCTGCATTCCTTTATTCTTTTTTATTTTATTATTTAGAAAAAGGACATATACGTGGGCCCAAGGACTTAAACTGAAAGTCAAACCTTAAGTCCCTAGTCATCTAAACTTGAGTCCTTCTATTATTTGGTTCCATCCTTGCTTCTGCCTTCTTCCTTCCTTCCTTGCTTCCTTCCTTCCTCTCTCTCTCTCTCTCTCTCTCTCTCTCTCTAGTGATTCTTTTTTGAGACAGGGTTTTTCCGTAGCTTTGGAGCCTGTCCTGTAACTCACTCGTTGGACCAAGCTAGCCTGCAATTCACAGAGAATTAATCCCGTGTACCACCACTTTGTGGCTCTCTCTCTCTCTCTCTCTCTCTCTCTCTCTCTCTCTCTCTCTCTCTCTCTCTCTCTCTCTCTCTCTCTCCCTCTCCCTCTCTCTGCATTGTTACATGAAGTAGGTGAGTAACTGATACAGACTTATCACAGTACATATGACAACATTTTATCAAAGTGCTGTTTGGTATCTTGGTATCCTTATCTGAAATATAGTTTTCTAACACACATACTGTGATAGCCAGAACAGGAACAAAGACAGCAGCAGCAGCAGCAAATAACAAGAATTTCACTGCCATTCCTAGAAAGATAAGTGACAGAATTTCAGATTATTCTGAAGGTGTAGAACAGTATTTCCTAAGAAACCTTGAACCATTTTAACATCGTTTGCTTTTTTGATTCCAAAATGAGATTAGAGAATAAAGCTTAATATTAGATCTTAGCTAAGGGGACCCAGAAAATAATATGCATCTGATTCAAATGATACAAACTTAAAAAGAATGCAAACTTGTTAACTCACAGGGTCTGAAAATGAATGTCCAACTATGTGTTAATAGGAAATCAGGTAGAAGATGGAATTTAGTTTGCTAATCAACGGACTAAAAACAAAAGAGACTGACCTATGTATTCTTCATTGGTTTAAGTTAATTCCAGAGGTGCTTAATTGAAAAAAAAATCAAGAGACAACTTCATCAACACAGCCCAAGATGAGACCATCAGTCACACCTTGTTCGGGAGATTACACAGAAGGGACGCGATCCTGCTACTAGCAATGTTTGTGTGTGTGGTTTAAAGATATTCTATACAATTCTGTTACTTTGCTAAGGATAATTGTTCTTTGCCTTAAGTCAGTACTAATGGATTTCTCTTCCTATTTGATACAATTAGTTAATTCTAAGATATTAATGAGTATAGGCTTTTAAAGTGTGGTGGCACTTTTTTTCTAACAACCTATTAAGTTTATTTCTGAAACCACACTAGTTATCACCTACAGAAATTTCTATTTTTGAAAAACAGCTTCATCTTTGAAGAATGAAATAGCAAAGACGAGCATCCGTGCTTATTTCCACAGCCACGTGGTTGCTCAGTCATTACTCTCAGACATCCCATGTCCACTGAAAGGATCCTTAACATGAGGGATGCTTGATGACACAGACTATCTAAGATTGTTTCACCCTTTTCGTCAACTCTCCTCCCTTCATCTCCATGTTCTCCAGTGTTTAACACATCCTCACAATCAACCATGTACAATAGCTGCCACACGTCTTCCTAGAGCAGGGCGTCCACAAGATAAAAGGAGGGCCAGGAACAGTTAGCTCAGAGGGTCGCCCAGACCAGGCCAGTGAGGCAATACAAGAGATCTGCTAAGAAGAGGAAACGACATCCAGGCTATTTACTTTATAATCTTACAGTAGCAGCCAGCTCTGCCCCCAAATAGCCGCTTCTTATCACTATAGTTCAGTTCAGTAGGTCAGGGAAGGAGGACAACACAGCCTTGAACTCTTTACATCTTTCCTGATTCACTCGCATTATCATTCTCATTTAGCTCTGGTTCTCTCTCCTTTTCTTATCCTTTCTGTCTTTCTATTGTTTCCCCTTTCCCATGCCCATTCATTTTACTGTTGCATTCCCCCAAACCTAGAGACAGACTTGGTTTGTGATATCTAATACGTATCCCTCCTCTTTTTAGTTTGTCATTAACTCAAACCCCCAGGTATGCACCCCATTTTCCTTTCCTTCTATTATTCCTATTATTCCCATGAATGCTCCTTTCCTCTGCTTCCCTTCTGACAGTTTGACACCAATGACTGGTTTCACCATGACTACTCACCTAGCCTTTGCTTATTTTCTCATACCTACAATAACTAACCTGCTATTAAACACAAGGGCCCCTTCATTCCTTAAATCAATCAGTATTTAACAAGTGACTGTTACATAGCTAACTGCTAGTCTATTATCAGAGTGTACTAATGCCAAAACTGCTGCTGCACTCAGCCCACAGAGACAGACTGGAGATAGAGTCTGGTGTCCAGAGAACTAGTTGGAGAGATTAAAAAAAATACCACCACAACTTTAGTACAACAAAGGTCTACCAAAAACTGCAAACACATCCACTCAAATAAGAGGAGCAGCCTGAATCATAAGAAGCAACCAAAATCCTTAACTGACAACTCATCCAGATGGGCAGATTCTAGCACAGAATGCTGCAATCTGCTAACTTGTCTCTTAACCCAGAAGTGAATCCATATCATATTATAAATTGTCCCTAATCAATAATGAGACAGTGTTGGAAAACATGTATTTTCACATAATGATTCACTGAAACATATGTATGCATGCATGTTCATGTAAACATTTTAGATACAAGGATACCTGTCACAAATGGATGAAAAATCTTTGTTTTATACAGCACACACAAGGGATTGAACACCTATGATTAATGTCTGTGAAAAATAGACATAAACTACAAAAACACTTGTCCTGACCTCTGGAAAGTGTGGGACAGCTGGTTTCTGGTAGGATTATGGTTACTTTAGTACATTTAGCTCATACCAATAACTTTGGTGTAGCAAGATTAGTGTACTGGGACTAGAGGGGGAAAATCTGCTAAGAAAGAAATTTCAAATCCCAGAGTCTGCTTTGGTTTTGTTGCTGTGGACAGGTAGAATGTGTCCATTGATACTCGTGTTTCTTAGACAATGGAAAGTACAAAGAAAGTAGGTCCCCTTAGATGGATTAAAACTCCAATAGCACTTAGAACAACCATGTTCAAATAGGAAGATACCGTTTAATATGCAAACACCAGGTATGCATTATAGATTTTAGGGTGAAAATGCAATTGTGAGACAATTGGTGTTAGTCTAGGTATGATCATTTGGCAACACAGACCCAATGTCGACACGACTCAAACTCATGAGTCAAAGGGCAGAGTGAAGAAGTGGACTGTAGCAGACAAAAGCTTGAGGATTCTGCAGGAAGTAAAGCTTGATACTAGCAAGTATGCAACCCTAAAAATGAGACCAGGGAGTGTAAAGTGTAGTTTTCTCTGTGAATCACCTGGGCCCTACCGAGCTATCTGAACCACCAAATAATACACAGGACACTATATTCATTATGAAACTGTAGGCAATTTGTTATTTTTTCATTGGCTAGCTCTGACTTAATTATTGACCTATAATCACCAATATATATTTTTATAAGGACTTATCTTTCTGAGAACGCAGACTTGCATCCCCTCTTCCAGGGAATCACATGGCAATGGCTTCCTTCACTACATTTCCCAGAATCCTCCTAGACTCCTAGTCCCACCTATCTTGCTTCCCTGTTGGCCAACAGTGCTGTATTTACATATACACAGGACTTCCTCATCAAGGGAGCATGACTCAGAAGCTGAACGAGGCTTGGAGAAGGAAATGGTTTAGGTTAGAAGCCTTGTACTTCCTGTCTGAGCCTTGATCACTGAATCACTGGTACATGATGCATGCCAGAGACCGACCAAGGCTGAGCCTCTAGCATATGCTGCATGAGTCTGCACTGACCGCAGCCTGCAAATCTCAAAACCACGTTGACCTTTTACCTGAATGTCAGCTTGTTGTCTGAACTCAGTTCAAACAGAGACAAAGTACAACAAACTCAGCATCTCCTTTTGAACATAGTTATTTTACCCCAAATGTGCAAATTTCAGTCAATACTCTTTTTAAAAATAGATAACATTACCGCAAACTTGAGAAACTGACTATATAAACTCATTTTCCAAACTTTAGGCTTAGAAAGATGGGTCATGAACTATTGAAAGTTAATGTTTAGTGGGAGGAAAGTTCAAAGATGTCAGGAAAGGTTGAGGAGGATCAAGCAGTATCCTGTGGCAAGACTTTGGGTACAAGTTCTCAGCCAGGAATTGTTAGACCACGACCTCTCATAATCAACTTAAATGAAGAACAGGTTCTTCCTTGCTGGTTATTGCCTTGACTCAATAACTGATAAGAAGGAACTGTACCAAAAGCCTGTTTTCCACATTTGACCTTCTTTGCCTCAGCAAATACTTTAATCCCTACATTCAGCAGACTACAGAGAAACAGTCAAATCTCAGGGGTCCAGTTTGATCACTTAGTACATATGTGTACACCTGTATTACCTCTACAACAATCAATATATACACTGAGTCTCGATACCCATGCAGGTCCCTTATGTCCCATTGTGTCGACAGTCCCCAGATGAAACAGCATCTTGATCTTCATGGTTATTGGTAGTATTGATTAATACTTAACCTCCCTACAGTTGACATAGCTTCTCTATTATTATACCTACGTGAATCATTCATGGTTTGTATGAGGAAGTTTGCATTTGTTAATAGCTATGTAGCAGTCCACAGTCTATCTAGCACATAAGGTATACATTTTATTATTCACAAATAATTTTATCCATATATTTCTTTTTGTAAACTGTTTATATTCCCTTTTGGGGGTGTACTGCATACCCTAGAGTGGAACTGTTGGGTATATAAATACTCAGGTTTTCTTTTAGTGAATTTTAAGAAATGATTTTCCAGAGTAATTCTTTTTAATAAATCTATACTTTTTAAAGAAGCAATTCATGATTCTTGCCCTCACCCATATTTATTTCTTTAAAGCTTTTTTCATTATCTTTTATGTTTGTACATGATGTATTATTACAATTTTAACATGTATTTGTCCCATTACTAATAATATTGTAAAAAATTTGTATGTTTTATAAGACACTAGATACCATCTTTTGTGTAGGTTTTGCTAAATATTTTGTCTGTTGTTATAATTACTTGAATATATTTAGTGTTTTGTGTGAGTTACCTATGTTCTTGATAAGTCTGCATAATAGATCACAGTTCTTTTAGTAGTTTGTGGTTTATTTTGTATCTCCTTTTTCTAATTTTAGTAATTCTTTGAAAATTTCATGCAATGTATTTCTATCTTATTTACCTCCTTCCCCGCCTCCTCCCAGATTCACCCCTACCCTTCCCTAAATACCCAACTTTGTGCCCCAGTTTTTGTTTTTTGGGTTTTGATTGTTCGTATTTTAACCACATAAAGTGTGACTTGTGTTGCCATATCCTCTTGGATATGGGGTCTTCCACTAAAGTGTAACGAACCCACCAGGAATCATATCCCCAAAGGAAACTAACAGCAGCATCATTTGCTAAGAGTTCCTCAGCAATGGGTGGGGGTTTGTGCCCACTTAGCCTCTCCATGCTGGGATTTTGTCTGGGTTGATCTCACTGCTAGTACCCAGGCCTTGCGCATTCTGTCACAATCATTGTAAGTTCATATCT